GATTTTTATAAAAATTGGCAGTCCGTTTGATAGCTGTCGACTGTCAAATTTTTAATTTGACATAAAATTCGTACTAGTGCGCCTAAAAACCTAACAAGTGGTATTCTCATAAAGATTTTCTTATTTTTAGAGAAATTAGCTGTTGATTTGACAGCTTTCAACTATCAAACTGAACATTTTATGGCATATCCAGATTTAGCATAGCAAAAATACTACGATGATGCATTTTTATTGTAATCGTAACAGCCCTTCTAATTTTTCGCGTAAAACATAACTTCTCCGACCACTGTGGAGCGTAAGAACGAGAGAGAGCTGTTAGTTTCGGCTAGTTTTGAATATCGAGGGCTTATATTCAATACCCTTCATCTGCAATTTTGATGAAAATGAGTTTTTGATGGTAACGTGAGCTCCGATTAATTTTTTAGCCATGACAATTATGTCAACCTTAAAATATAGTTTTAGTGGATTTATATATTCTCGTTTTGAAAATTCCACTATCTGCAATAACATTTTGTTATAAGAACAAAATCCTCTATCTACATAATTTTGCTGGAAAATTATTTTTATTAACATTTTTTTGTGGCAGGTAAGTTACATGTGCCTATGTATGTATGTATGTATATGTTACCGGTAAAATCCGATCTTAGGTCAAACTAGTTTTGCCCAGGCTAAGCTAGTTCTACCTAATGCGATATATCTGTCCAACCGAAACCAAATATGATAAAACAAAAAATCTTCCATACTCCGTAAAACATAGCGTCATCAAACTCCATTATTCCATTCTTTCTCAAGTTGGTGACCCTGGAAAACTGCTATTATTATTCCTATTGCCAAACTAAATAGAAACAATTCATTAGTTTCTAACTACATACCCATTTCCCTCCTCCCCTGCATATCTAAAGTATTACGCTGGAAAAATGGTGAGAGGATGTACAATGTTGTTAAGTCTTTCCTTTACAACCGGAAGTTCGCTGTTCGGGTCAGTAACTCTTTTTAATGGTGTCCCACAAGGATCACCACTTTCGGTTATTTTATTCAATATAGCCTTTGGGAAAGTTAGCTCCATTATATTTTTTCTAAGACTAAGGACTTGCCGCAATTGGTCCGTATCTTCAGGAGCTAAGATTTCGGTTTTTCACATATGCAGAAAACACAAATGTATACATCCAACCCTCTCCGTGTATGACACCCCTATCCAGTATACTGAGACATTGAAAATATTGGGAACAATTTTTGACAATAAACTTACTTTTAAGCAGCACTGCCATAATGTAAGATTAAGCTTACTTGCTAGACTAAATATTATAAAGTTTTTATAATTTAAGTATTCTTTAGTTCATATAACTACACTGGTAAATGTAATTAGGGCTTTTATATTGGGAAAAATTGACTTTGGAGTCGTAATTTACGGACACTGCGCAAAAAGCTTCTTAAATTGCTAGAAACACCTTACCCTGCAGCAGTCAGAAGAACCATAGCTAGGGTTCGAAATTTCAGACTTTGGTATCGATACTGAGTACTCATTCTGGCATCGAGCTCATGGTATCGATACTCTAAAATTATCAGGGAAAAAGTATCGATACTACTCAGTATCAGACTCATTAAAATACGTTTTTGGGATACTAAAATTATTTTGTTCTTCAATCGTATATCTAGTTATTTCCTAAAATTAAAACAATAGACATTTAAAATATTTGATTTTTATTTCATTGCAGAACTTACTTCCACGTTAGAAGTAATTTAAACGTTAAATGTACACACATATTTACTTTCACGAATTTTAAATTTCATTAAGAATTTTTGGAAACTTTGTGGGTATGCATTTTGTATAATATTGTGCAAGTTTTAATTAAAAGTCAACGGTAGTAGCCTACACGGAAAGTTGAATAGGTTACAAAACTGCATACCCTAAAAGTTTCTAAAAATTCTGTATTTTCGTGAACTTTAAAGTAAAGTTAAAAGTAAAGTTGTATGGCCTTATTCATTAAAAATAAAAAAGGTTTATAAACTATAAGCTGAAAAATGTATGAAAGTGTCATTTTATTTAAGCTCTTTAAGCCTACTTTATTTTTTATCAATAAGGCCATTAAACTTTAACTTATTTGGTTTACGTTATGTAACAGACCACACGAAATTTCAGTTTATTTTAAGTGATGGACAAAATTGAATGATAGTAATCCATATAAGCAAAGAAAATTGGGTTGCTAATGGAAGACAAAATTTAAAAAGTGTGTTTTTTAAAAAGTATTCGATACTACGAGTACTTTGGAAAGTATCGAGTAAAATCACCAAATAAGGTATCGAGTATTAAAGTACACATTTTTATACCCTCAGTATCGATACTTACTCAATATCGATAGTATCGTTCGGCTATGGTTAGCCATGAGGTAAAGTACATCACAAAGATGTTCATCCCAAAGATTGGTCACTGCAAAAATGAGACTGCAACGTCGAATCCTGATTTCAAAAAAAAAAAAAACGATGAAGCAAGCAATCAGCTTTATTTCGTGTATTAAGCTACATCAAAGATTTGGACTTCATATCTACTCCGATGCCTACTAAAGTAAAAACTCTACCGTAAGGGCATTTGCCCAGTTCTATACTCATAAATAAACTGGGAGCTTATTTTTACAGACGGTTCCAGATATGATAGCGGCTGTTCTTTTGCGGTAACAAAAGGGCTTGGTCGTCGGTGCTTTTCCGCGTACTGCTCGGCATTTACAATTGCTAGAAGCTATACGTTTCGCCTCTACAAACCAAGGAAATTTCCTCACATGCACGGACAGTAAATCAGCCATCTAAACCATCTCTAACAGTGCTAATGATCCTCGTATAATTTCGAAACCACATGAAATACTATTTCAACGCAAAAACACCATTAAAATTATGTGGCTACCTGAGCACGTCGGAATAGAAGGGAACAAGTTTGCAGACCAATGATTAATGTGTTAAAAACTTAGTTTAACATAACATTTACATCTAAAGAACTGATATTTTCATTATTCTGCAAAATCCCCTATCAGCACATTTTTTAATATAAATAATTACAATTCGAATTACAATAACCTCTATCTGATCTTTACACTAGAATAAAATGAATTAAAGGTAAAATCCTAGTTTTAATATATAGCGTGAATTTTTAAGACATGCGTGGGTACTTAAAATTATTAACACTTTTAAAAATAGCTGTTAAACATTTTTTTTGCTCTCTTGAAAAATTGAATTTTTGCAGATAGAGAGTATTGAATATAAGCCCTCGATATGTACAACGTACGTTTTACATTTATATCTTTAAAGTTAAAGAAACTAGTGTTAAGAAAATTGTCGCTTACAACGTTATTCGCGGCAGCCATTCATATGTTGGAAATATTGCTGGAAAACCTTAAAATGTTTGCACGGAACCATGGCGCAATAAATAGGTGAAGATAAAGCTGATGCCACATAAAACTTTTGCTTCGCTTTACGTGACAGATTCGCTTTGACAGATAAGACGAATTGTATGAAAATGAACAAAGCATGCCCCATAAATCCCATCTTTTTGCGCGCTTTGACAATCAGCCGCTTTAATATTTATTTTGTTTCGTAATTCCTAGTTCTCATGCAGAAACATAAAACTTAATTACATTGCTGATAATTTTAAAGGAAAATATATAAAATACACAGCCACTTTGACGAGTAAAAAAGCGGTACAAAATTTTTTTCTTGGCGTTCATTGTGGCATACCTTTTGCGTCTCGCGCTTTGCTGGAAAAGTTATAAATGTCACGCAAAGCTACAAAGTTTTATCTGGCGTCAGCTTAGAACAGCTTTCTCGCTTTATTTTTTATAAGCTTTTATTTAACATGGTCATCCCGCGCAAATCGCGCAAATTTCTAATCGATTTTAAACTGACTTCCCGACAATTTAGAGACTTGAAATTTTCAGCATAGTTCCAATCACGATGACACTGCAATTTAAAATGTAAATGAATTCTCCATATGGTCCAGGGGCCTTGATTCAAAGGCGGTCAAAAAATAGTAAGATTTATGGCTAACAGAACGTAATTTGCCAAAGAACGTAAAACCACTATAAAATTGTTAAAGCTGCCGGCGCGCCGCGGCGGTAGTGTAGCAAAGCTATTCCTAGTCTAGATATGAACCTCGTTGTAGGCATCATATCAAGGAGATACAATTAAAAGACTCCAGATGTCGCCCCGCCAGAAGAAGTTAAATATTGCACCTAAATGTATGCCATTCTACAGCGGAAATGGACGACACGCCATTTCTTTAAATAAAATTAACTGCTGCTATATGTACATATGTATGTTTATACAAAACGTAAGCAAACAACATTTTGCTTGCCAAGTCTTCTGTTCTCTTTCATTGCAAGTTGAATTATTTTAAAATCTATTGCAAAATATTTTACATAAAATAAAATAACACTTTTTAATATACAACGCTTTTATAAATGGACTAAAAATTATAAAATAAAATAATGTAAAAAAAAATATTTTTTAAAAACAAGCTTTTATTTAACCTGTACAATGAAAGGAATAAAATGAAGTAGTGTAACAAAAGATTTTTTAGCAAGACAATTTTGTCAAAACTGCACTAAAATGAATAAAATAAAATAACTTTAGATCTCGTTAAAGTTACTAAAAGCCATTAAGTGAAAGGAGTTATTCAAACTCTAATGAAAATTACTAACAATTTGTACTAATTTACTTCGTTTTTAAAAAAGCTTGTCGGCGAATTCAGCGTACATGCATAAGTGGTTAGGTATGTATGTATATGTATGTAAGCAGATATTTAAATGCCGGTTTGCTATTCGCGCAAACTGGGTGACTACCTATGTGCAACACAAATTTTCATTATTGCCGGTTGTGTTATTTCACCCCCCCCCCCCCCCGCCTTAGTACATACTTACATACACATTTAATTAAGGGTAACAGCCTCCGGCATAGAAATAGTTTTAGCAGTTTTTATAAGGTTTTTAATATTTCTACAAATTTGCTTTTTTCAGAGCGCAAACTTTTCGTTGGCATGTTGAACAAAAAATACAATGAAGCAGATGTCAGGCAGTTGTTCACAGGCCACGGCACCATCGAGGAGTGTACAGTGCTTCGCGATCAGAATGGGCAGAGCAAAGGCTGTGCCTTTGTGACGTTTGCAACGAAGCACAATGCCATTGGAGCAATTAAGGTAAGTGTGTGTGCAAATTACTGAGTAAGTGCGTGCCCCGTTGCCCCTTGCCTAGGGCTGCTATACGTCCCGGTTTTCCGAGACATGTCCCGGTTTTAGACTGTTCGTCCCGGTGTCGAATTATATGAGTTTTTTGTTTGAGTTGATGATCGTGCCGATCTCTAATTAACAGGGTCTTATGTATTTTTTAGTGTTATGATTTTTCATAAATTTTTAAGTCCGTGGTGGAATTTCGTATCTTGTTTCAAAACATCGGAAAAGCTGGCAATTTTTGGATGAATGTATATAGAAAAAAACTCGCAAAGAGGCAAAGCTGTATTTAACTTTTTTACTAACTTAATACACTGGCCCTTGTTTGTTCTTGTGGCGCTAAATGTTACGCATTCGATGGTCGGAGCATGGTAAATATTTCTAAATCGGCATGTTTTAATGTTTTAGGTTGCATAATTTAGAAATCCCTATTTTTTGTCACAGTATGAAAGGTATATGCAAATGATATTAAACGCTGTATAAGGATACATAGCCAAGAAAGTATATTGGTACAAAAATTTAACGCATATTTTAACAAAAAATATTTTTTCATCAAAAACAGAAATTTTTCCGAAACATTTCCAAAATCATTTCATTGGAAAACACATGATTTTGACCCCATTTTCTAAAATATGCTAAAATTGGTAGATCTGAATATAAATTTTAATTTGGTATGCCTTCCAACCGAATCATATTTGACAAATAAATACATACATACATAGAAAAAAACTTAATGAAACTGTAACTTACTGTGATAAATGGAAATTGAAAAGAATTAAGAGCATACCGAGGGCTTATATTCAATACCCTATATCTGAACTTTTTACAAAAATGAGATTCTGATACTAAAATCCACTTAGGACTTAACTGTCATCGGTAATGTTAATGCTCAACTTGTATAACACTTGATAGACGAATTTATTATTACACAGCAAAGTAAGAATAAACATCAGTGATAACAGGTAAGTCCCAGATGGGTTCTAACATCGCAAAGTAGTTTTTGTGAAAATTGCAGATAGAGGGTATTGAATTTATGCCCTCGATATTCAAAACGAGTATGTTATTGACTCTTCCCATGTTTTGGGGAACAATTTTTAATTTCGTTCTTTTTTCTAACGTGAATATCCGCGTGAGTTATTTTATGTGTTTACAATAGTGGTATTCACCAAATTGAGCAAATGGCCTGACAATCAGACCAGAGTGCCAGGCCACTTGCTCAGTTTGGTGAATACCACTAATATTATCGAAAATCACAAAAGGGGCCAAAAAAGTCAGAGCCCTAGTATTTACAGTGTTTTACTATTGCTAAAGAGTACGGCCAAATTATATTCCACATACATAATAAAAAAAGGCAAAAGTAGAACGTTGGGGTGTTTAGGGCATTTTGCAAACAATTGCCCCGATTTTGCGTCACACAAATCTGGCAGCCCTACCCTTGCCGCATTCCATTTGTCATTTGTGTTGCCATTACAGCGATTAACGATGCGAATAGGTAGAATGAGATTTGGTTATGGCTACGGTGACCATCCGTCCTTTATTTTAAAGGACAGTCCTTTATTTTAACCCAATGTCCTTTATAATTTTATTCAAAATAAAGGACGCCTTTTGTCCTTTATTTCTTAAATTGTCCTTTAAATCAGCTCTGCATTTTTCATAGGTAAATTTTTAAACACAGAATATGAAAACTAAAAATTCCCTTACAAAACATAATGAAAACCTCCGCCAGTTTGTTTCGCCGCCACTTAATCTATCTTTCTATTTAATCGATAAATTTTGTACAATTTGTAAAGCAGGATCGTGTTGCGCGCTAAGTTTCCAATTCCACTAAAAAAAAAAACAATAAAACCCTGCTGCACAAACTGGCATTTAATTTGATTAATTTTTATTTTTTAACGAAAGATTATAATATTTGCAAGGGGCTAGTTGTGCCCGATTTGTGAATATTTATTTGATTATATTAAATTTTTTAGTAAAACATGCAGAAAAGGTAGCACTTTTGATGAAAATGTATTCTCCGTTTCCAGCTAACCAATGTTACATAACAAAAACTAGTTGAAAACAATTGTATGGTTCTCCCAAAACGGAAAAAATGTTAACCAAAATAAATATTTTTCTTTTGTTATTAGTAAAAATTAGTTGAAAAAAGGAGGCTCCGGAAAATTATCAACATTAAATTCCAATTTTGAACCACTGTGTGCTGGCTTCGTCGTGCTGTATGGTATGGTAAACGCATTTTGGTAGCAAAGGACTGCGAAGTCCTTGAAAAGGATTTGGCTTAATTTTTCACTACAGCAGCTACTGGTAAATATTTGATGTAAATTACGATATGGGTAAGGTACTTTTATCATACAAGTTGTATGTACGTATTCCCAAATAATTTTGAAAAAATGTCCTTTATTTTACGTTGGTTAATATGGTCACCGTAGTTATGGCGCAAGTATTTTTAAATACCCTTCGGCGGGCGCGCCGCGGCAAATTAGCCGCAAAAAATTTAATTTGTGGTTTTCAAATACTTATTGTAGTAGCCGGCCACTGCCACTTAGTGACTTTGTAAGTTTTGAGATGCAGCATGGTTCACAGTTAACCGTTACTTGCTGCGTTATATCATTCAGTTGATATTTGTATTTGAAAGTCGGTGTCTCATATAAATTTTAGTGTAATTCGCAAATTTTTTTCTTACAAATAGTTGGAAAAGTTAGTTTGTGATAAGGGTCTAAATCTAAATTGTTATTTTGTAAGTATTTTGTCATGTGTAATTTTAAAATTGAACTTTGCGTTAGCATTACTTTAACTATTATGATATTCATTTACTTAGGTTTTAGAGAATGATGTTTTTAAACTGATATAGAAGCGAACGCGCTACGCAACAGCAATCGAAACCAGGAATATCTACCAGGAATAATAAAACAAAAATTTGTTGTATTAATTGTGACAAAAAGGTTTACAGGAAACATTGCAAGCATATTTCACAATGTGTATAATGTACCAACACCACTGTTGATGATGACGGATAAAAATTAAAACATAAATGCTTTATAAAATATTTCAGTATAAACACAAATTATTCAGATGTTTTACTTGAATGATTTTTCGATATAAATAATAAAAAAAAGCAGCTTAGAAGCTGCTAAACACATTTTTGAATTTTTCTGCAAATTCTTTGACAAAAAACCTTACTTAAGTCCGTGTTGGGTTTTTGCTGAGTTAGACCTAATGACATAATTGAAAAAAGTTTCGTAGAAATCGATAAAGTGGTTGCCGAGATACACCTTATAGTCATAAAGTGGGCGGTTCCACGCCCTATTCCTAAAAGTCTATAGCAGTCTTATTTATTGTTAAGAGATTGTTGTAACTATTAATTTGTATTAAATTAGCGTCCTGAGTTACTGAAATATCGGAGTATTCGTATGTCTGAAATTTACCGTTATACGGGAAGCGGGTGCAATTTTAGTCCGATTGGAATAATTTTCCACGAAGTGCTTCTCCGAACCAAGGGAAAGGCTCGTACCGAGTTTGGTAAGGATTGGTTAAACAGCTAGTGAGACACAGCATATCACGGCTCCATAATGTTGGCACCCGACCTTGATGCGAGTTGATAAAATACATTGAATGTGATAGATTTAGCTTTTTGGAGGATTGCAGTAATTTTCTTTTTGTCTGTAGTTGAAAATAAAGTCCGTAATGCGTTTTTTCTTTTAATTTATATGAACTTATTTCCATATATATATATATATATGTATGCATTAGGGTGTGTCAAAAAAAATCAAGTATTTTTTTTGGATTCGACACACGAAAACTAGTTCCTAGGTACCTCTAGAAAGTACTTACCACATCTGAGCTCTTAATATTCACGGGGAGATTATGCTCATCATAGTTTTCAATTTTCAATTTAGTCTCATATAAAAACGGTCATATCTTTTCACCAATAGATTGTTAAACCAGTTACATCGTCAATGTTTATAGGAAATTGAACGCTCTACAAAAATGGTCTCTAATACTTTTTTCATTAATCTAACTATTTAAAGATATTCAAGGTCAAAAATTGAAGTATTTTAAGGAAAATAACTTGTGGTTTTGAATTTTGTAACTTACTAAAAAATTATTAAGTTACAAAATAAAAAATTATTGTCAACTGAGTTTCAATTATTTCTATAGGAAATTAAACGCTCTACAAAAAAGGTATTTCCCATTTATCCATTTAATTTATGAATTGTGAGATAATTTATGATCTATTTCAGAAAAATAAGGTTTTTATTTAAGAAATATCATCAAAAATATCAACAGAAAAAAAATCTATTCCGCCATATGAAATTTTATAATTTAATACAGTATTGATACAAAAATATATTTTTTCTTTTAGTTTAAGTTATAAAAATTGACTTTTATTACAATTCGGAAATTTTGCTCGTGTTCCTTGACAACTTGCAGTAAATATCGAAACTGGTCTTCGTTCTTTTACAAGCATTGGTTGTATTCTGACGGCGTTAGTATGATAAGTACTGATTAACAGAACTAACTACCAACATTCGAAATTAAATCTTCAAATTCCCCAAACAAAAAATATTCAATTATAAATTTTGTGGAAAAAAGAAATTTGAATAACATTTTTAATAAACCCGTTGAAAAATATTAAATTACGATGCTAAATTGTGATAAAAGTTATAAAAAGTAAATATCGTTAAAAAATGTATTCGAAGGAAATATATTCTCAAACAAAAGATAAGACATAACTTGCAAACTATAATTTATTTATTTATTTATTTTTCTAGTAGTACAGGGTAAGACTTAGGTATTTTAATAGTACTTCATCCATTATATACTGTACGTGGAAAGTAAAATAGTAATGACAATGACAATGTTTACTTAAACCTAAATTAAATTAAATTACAAATTATCCTTAATAGTTAGAAGTGTAAGGAAAGAGGAAATAAATAAAAACAGTATAGAAATTGAGGATTGAATTGTAAAGG